TGGGAGTTTTACATATTTTGTGTTTGGATGGCTTTTGGGAGTTTTGCTGTTAAGAGTGCTCTCTCTTCTTTGGGGGGTGTGAAGGCTTTTGAAGGCCTCTTCATTTTTCCTTGGTCGGCTGGGTGGGCCGCGGCCCATGGGGGCTGGGCTCATTGGGCTCTCTTCATGTTCCTCCTGCTTGCGGGCCACGCGGGGTGCTGGGTCGGATGGCTGGGCCGCGGCGACGGGGTGCGCTGGGCTCCCATCAGGCTCCCTTCATCACTTCATGTTTCCTGTCTGGGTTGCTGGGGTGACGGGGATGGGTGGGCCGCGGCGACGGGGTGCGCTGGGCTCCCATTAGGCTCCCTTCACATGTTTCCTGTTTGGGTTGCTGGGGTGACTTGGCTGGGCTCCCATTGTTGGGCTCCCCTCATGTTTCCTTTCTGGACTCCCTGGGTCGGATGGGTGGGCCGCGGTGACGGCGTGGGCTCCCATTGGGAATGGGTTTTTGTCATGTTTCCTGGGCTCCGTTCATGTGTCCTTTCTGGGCTCCTGTTTTGGATGGGCGGGCCTTTTGCTGTTTTCTGCTATGGTTTTCTTGCTGTTGCCGCGTTCCTGTGAAGATGTCATGGCCACCCATTCTTCTTTTGCACAAAAGCATTGCCTAATGCCTAAACATTTGTTTCGTAGCATCTGCTGGTGAAGCCAGATTCGATTCCATCCAACTTGAACCGGCATTTGGTGCATTCTGTTTGGGGTCTTCGCTGGTGTAATTGTGATTATATTGTGACAGAGCCCCATAGTACCGTTTTTTCGTAAGCCCCGAGAGCACCCAGCGCTGGAAGCCCTAAGAACGAGAACGTTACCCGAAGAGAGAGGTGCTCATAATCAGAATGGCTTCTTGGATTCTTGGGTATGTTATAGCACAGTCCGGGGTATGTTAGCACCACTAAATCAAGGAACCCTAACCCTAAACCCTAAGGCCTAAACCCTGAGCCTTAAGCCTATTCACGGAATTGAGGAGGACGCCGTCCGCCAAGTCTGCGGGGGCTTGACGCCCCTTTTCATGGCCCTGGCCACAGGCACTTTTCCAAAGATAGCATCGGGTTTGGGGCTTCGCGGAGTAAGGTTTACTGAAGGGTATCATATGGATTACGACAGGGCGTCGTAAAGGTTGCTATAAGGGCGCCATGATGATTTTGTTCTAAGGGTTCCAGGAGTTGGAAGCTGGAGAAGACTTCAGAGGGGCGAAGTGCGGCGGCGGATTTTTCGGAATGAGGCCTCGGGATCGGATTCGCTGGGTTTGGGGTTTGGGGTTTAGGGTTTAGGGTTTAGAGTTTAGGGTTTAGGGTTTAGGGGTTTAGGGTTTAGAGCTTTTCCGGGCATGGCTCAAGGAGGCAGCGGCAAGGGAGCATCAAGAATGACATGAGCTGCTACTTGGAGGATGATGGGACTTCATAATTAGGGTTATAAATAAGGTAATTATAGTTATAATCAATTATAACTGCCATTAAAGTACTTATAACCTTACTTACTAAGTCCCATGATCCTCCAAGTAGTTGCTGTTGCAGGATTCGTGGCCCTCAACCCAAAATGCTAAACCCGGAGGCTCCGAACCCAACGAGACTGATATGCCACAAACCATGAAGCCTCGTTTTGACTGTTTAGGGTTCAGTTGTTTAGGGGCATGTTTCGGGAATTTAGGGTTTAGCTACCTAATGTAGAAACCCAAATAATTACCAATATTCTTTTGAGGGTTCCCGATTATAGCTATACTATAAAGGAGCCCAAAACCCTATTCTAACTACCAAGGCCCCTACATTACCCTGATACAAAGACCCCTGCGCCAGGACGCGAGGATCTTGCCCGAGACTTCCGACAGCTGGGCGCCAAAGAGATGGTGCCATGGCCTTTTTTCATCAACGGAGCTTCCTGACCCTCAAACCCCCACCTCTAAACCCCAAAGCCTAAGCCCTAAGCCCTAAACCCTAAAACCCTAAGCCCTAAACCCTTAAACCCTCAACCCTCAGCCCTCAACCCTAAACCCTTAAACCCTCAACCCTCAGCCCTCAACCCTAAACCCTAAAACCCCTAAAGTTCTCAACCCTAAGCCCTAAACCTTCAAAGCCGAAGAAACCTAGACCCCACAGGCCCAAAATCTGGAGGTGCTTGGGAACAAGGAGCGTAACAGAAAGGGGAGTGCTGTGTGCTGCTGTTGGTGTAGGGTTTACGAGTTTGGTGTTTTGGGCTATGGGTGTGGAGCCCCTACAAGCTGTGACAATCAAAAACTCACAGGTGATCGGAGGATCCGTATTATGCCCGTATGATCCCGATGTTGCAATACAGGAGACTCTACCAGGATCTTGCTCTGCTTCTTCATAACTCTCGAATCCTTGAGCTGTGATTCACCGCCCCCTTGGTAAGACTCTCAGAGGGATCCGATAAGGTACTGCCAATAGAGGAAGTGGTGGGTCTAGCTGAAACTCTGCATCCGGGAGTTGAGAGAGAACCCTAAACCCTAAACCCTACGCCGAGCACGACTGTAGACACAGGCTCAAAATCCTGCGTTCGTTAGCGTCACTGCCCTCCTTTGCCTCAGCTTAAACCCTCAACGTAGCTTGTTTTAACAAGTAATAGTCACAATACCAATATTTCTGATACCAATAACGCTCAGAGTACTGACAATATTCAGAATAGTACCAAAAGCCTTCTAGCAGCCTTTTGGGGTTTAGGGTTTAGGGTCCTTTGATAGAAACGGAGCGTCCAAGTTAAAGGTAACTACAGATGGGGAGTTTAGGGTATATAGGGCTTCTATACAGCTTCTATAATGTATATAAACCCTCTATAAGGCTCCTATAAGGGTAACTACCCACCTGAAAGTGTCCCAGACCAAGGATCTGAGCCCCTCTTCGGAGCTTGGTGCCTTGGGCTGCAGATGGGAGCAGAGGAGGCTTTCGGCTCTCTGCTGTGCCCCTTAAGACCCTCAGCACCGAAACGGTTTAGGCTTCAGGGTTGAGGGTTTAGGGTTTAGGTTTTAGGCTTCAGGTTTAGGGTTTAGGCTTCAGGGTTTAGGGTTTAGGCTTCAGGGTTTAGGGTTTAGGCTTCAGGGTTTAGGGGTTAGGCTTCAGGGTTTAGGGGGTTGTAGTCTTTCGGCGCAGTCTCGAGCTTTGGGCGGCTTGGTATTGGCTGGGTTCTGGTGTAACATGCCGTGCTGGCATCGGAAAAGAAACTGCAACAGCCGACAACAACTAACATAGAAGCCTAAACAACTACCTATACTATTTTGGGGGGTTCCTTACTATAATTATGCTCTAATGGGCCCCAAAACCCTATTCTATTTATAAAGGCCTCCGATCTTCGATGGAGGGCCAGTCGCCTAAGAAATTCCGTGATAGCCCGTCAACCTCAAGAAGACGGAGAGGCCGAAGGAGGACTCAAGGCATCTTCAATCTGCACATGGACCCTTAGCGAACTATAGGGGCCTCAATAATTAGAATAGGGTTTTGGGGGTTCCTCATTATGATTAGAGAATAAGATTTTCTTTATTCGGACGTAGATCGTTTTTTGAGTTAGGCTTTCATGTTCCCTAAACCCTGAACCCTAAACCTTAAACCTAAAACCTTGCAAGAGCATGTTGCTCGATTTTGTGCAGTATCCTCCTGCGATGCGTGCCGAACGATGGAACCAATCCAAAGTCTTCAACCATCAAACCCAGAAGTCCTCAGAGCCTCAGACTCAGAAGGAGCCCTCAACCCTAAGCCCTAAACCTTGAACCTTGAAGCCGTAGCCCTCAACCCTGAGCCTTAAATGCGAAGTCCTCAACCAATAATCCCCGAGCCCTAACCCTAAAACCCTAAACCCTAAACTAAACCCTAAACCCTCAACCCTAATCCCAAGTCCTAGCCCGGCTTTTCCGGAGGCACGAGAGTTGTGGGGTCCCGAAGAGGGCTGGACAGCTTGAATTGCCAGCCCAGGGTGGGTGCGAGTTTGGAGGGGTTATGGGCTTTGGGGATCTTGGGCGACGTGGGTAATTAGGGCCCCTTTGAAGGGCTCCCTAAATAAGCGGTTTCTATTCTATAAGGGTACTATGTGGGTAGTTCTCCAAATTAGGGTCCTTTTTTGGGTATCCAAAATAGTACATACGGCGCTCTTTTGAACAGGATCCTAAAAGGGACCCGAACTTAGAGAACTACCCATGCGGTGTCAGGGTTTAGGGTTTAGGGTTCCAGCCGCTACCTTAGGGGCAGCGTGGACGGTGCAGCCGCCGAACGTCCTGGAGATCGCGCGCCATATCGCCGCTAGGCTTCAAAGACGCTGGCCCAGGAGCTCAGGAATCGAACCCTTACTTAGACTTAGCAACTAGGCCGGAAGAAGGGGTTCCTGTAACTATAATAAACAATAACCCCAATTAAGGTATCCAGCTTTTTAGGGTTCGCTAAATTTAAGGAATTGCTCCCACCACCTATGGCCAGCGGCGCTTCCGCCTACCCTGGATTTTTCCGGCAAGCCCCAACCCTATGAGCCCCAAGCCCAAAACCCAAAACCCTAAACCCTTAACCCTAAACCCTAAACCCTAGACCATAAACCCAAA